GTACGTAGCTTATCACAAAAGAATTTCATAGTTAAGTGTACTTGGTTTGGAGCAATTTAGGGATGTGTTAACTTTTGAGAAGTTTCCTAGAGAGTGTATGAGTGAGGACAAAACGCGCTAAAAAATCTTGTGTTAATTTGTGGGGTCAGTTGTTGATTCTAAAAAGCAGACAAACATCTCAAAAAAGGCTACATATCCGCGAAGGGTTCTAACTAGTGAAAGGTTTTGACCAATAAGGAGTTGTGTGAAATGTCGTGGAGTGAAGTCACTAAGATGTTAAATTTGATGGTTGTTACAAATGATGAGAGCAGGTTCTTTCTCCTAATATGATGTGGTTCGAGAATGAACCAAGCAAAAGTTGGTGGGCTTGTAACATCCTAGACACACCAAAATGAGAAGAATCTAAAGACTATACTTGTGTGAGATTGCATGATTGAGGATGATTTAAAAGAATTAATTTGTATTACCTATACCGACAAGATGTATCAACTTTTCGATAACTTATTACAAAAGAACTACATAGTTAAGCGTGCTTGGATTGAAATAATTTATGAATGAGTAACATTTCGGGAAGTTTCCTAGAAAGCATATAAGTGAGGACAAAACACACTAAAAAATATTATGTTAGTTTGTGGGTCAGTTGTTGATCCTAAAAAATGGATGAACATCTTAAAAAGGACTACTCACATAAGACTAAAATTATTCAATTAAAATCTTAAAGATCAAAATTGCATAATTGTAATATTGGAAAATTAAAAAATACAATTAAGTCTAATTTTCTTTCACATAAAATATACTCTTTGGTTCTAAATATAAGCAAAAAAAAAAAATTGTTTCACGGTAACTAAGAAAGTTAGTTTACATCATTTAATTTTTATTAACCCCATTAAAAATATGAATCTTTTCTAAATTACCCTTCCTTGAAATTTAATATAAAAAATAAAAAAGAATATTAAAACTACAATCGCAATTAAATAAAAATTATTTTAGAGATATATAATAACATTAAATATAATAAAATTAATTTAAATTTATATTAATTTGAGACCAACAAAGATGAAATTTTATTTGCTTATATTCAAAATTTGGGAGAAAGTTTTTTATACTTATAATCATAACTTAACCATATAAAATATTATCTTAAATTATATAATAATAAGAATAATATTAATAAAAATAAGATAATTTATAGTTTAATACCTCTAAAAGAGTCTTATTTTTAAACTGCAGTAACTTAATATATAAAAGTCATAGTTAAAATATCTAAGTTACAGTATCTTAAGTATAATATAGATTAATTTTAGCAAGTTATACTATATAT